TCTATGTGAATACAAAAGTTCATAATGTTGCGACGCTGGTCAATCCGCTTTTTCCCGTTAAAAGTTGTGCCTGTAGAGAACGTAGGGGTTGACAATTTAAGTCATCGTAGGAGTAGCTATTCTATTCGTTATATTGAAATTTCCAGAAAGAAAGTACTGTTTGATATCCACCAACGGGAGTGAAGGACAAAATAACTAGTAAAAACAAATTTTAATGAAACTAACTGTTGCTCCAAGCTGAGATTATTTGCGTTGACTGGCTGTAACGATAGTTTGCAGCTTCGTTGTGCTGGAACATACAGCCCAACTAACAATTATCACTCATATTAGAATTGCAAGAATGATTATACAGTATTCCTTATACAGCATTGTATACTGTAAGAACAATGGCAAAACCCTCTTAGAACAGCTATACAAGCGGAATGGGCACACCTAATAGGACACTTCAGTCATTTAAGAGGTTGTATAAGGGCTGCAGGTAACAGTTATACAACAAAAGTGTAAGCCCCTTGCAGCCGCTATAGGACATTTGCGTCAGTGCAAGATGCAGTTTTTGTCAACTATACAACTATTCTGTTACGTGATTCTACTTTATTGCAACCAAACTATTTCTTATGTATTGCATAGACGAAGTGAAGAATATAATATAACACATTACAGTCATCTTGTTTATCACTTTGTATCTGTAACTTCGAACTGAAACATAATTGTTTAATATTAATTAGAGGAATAAATGTTTGCCCAATATGGCTGGTGGTTGTGTATAATTATGGCATCGTCCATGTTGTTTTCAGTTTATTAGAATATTTTGGTGTTACCTGCAGGTGTTATACAACAATTTGACAAATATCTGAAATGAAATACCAAGTCCAACGATTTACCCAGAATTTGTACCAGATCTATATCTTCTGTTTGAGCAGTTGATAAAACCTTTTGAACCAATATGCATGCGTTGTCTTAAAACGTTGGTTATGGCATTTTAACAAAAATATGACAGCAGAAAGTTAGGTTATGGTGAAGTTGTATACCAACATATTTAGCATATGTACAGCCTTTAACAGTTACTAAACAACAGTTGTATAAGTGCTTCCGTTGGGAGCCACTTGTTGGCTAAAGTAGAGTAATATGCACAGCTAAACAACAAGGCTCGAGTTTTTTTTATAAACGTTACCATGGATGCCACAGCACAACCATTTTGACTAACGTGCAAATATGCCGTATAAAATAGTTGTATAAACGTTTATGCAACAGTTAAAAATTTGTCCTATAGGGTGTTGTATAACTGTGCTAAATAATATTTTAAACACCTCATTTTAGAGCAAATATGTTGCAGGAAGCACATTTGCATTCCACACAACATAAGCCAGCATTTTGGTGTTCAGGCAGCAACAATAAAGAGCTTTTATGGCTGAACGGTTCTTTTACCAAAAGCTTATAGCACTACTTTGCTAGTTGGGAGTACTCCAGTTTAAAAAAATGGCGTCAAGTAAATAGGTTGACGCTACACTTCTCACGCAATGCCGTGATCAGTGTATAAAGGTTTATGTTTAGTATAAGTTAGACATTGACATAAGACATAGGTTTTATATCTTGGATAGAGGATAGTTGTTCTTTTTTTGTTCGTTGCCTCAAAGACTAAGCTTAGACTATGATGATGGGTGACCAAAAAAGCACGAAACAGCTGTATGTAATCGGGTGACTTTGGTTGGACGGACAAAAGCTTGAAAATCTGAGAAGAAAATGAGCTGTCCTGCTTATCGAACCGTTCATCTGGGAACGTTGCGTCGCCTCTCCCCAATATCTGAATGTTCGATGCAGGTCACATGATATGTACGAGCACCGGCCCGCTAGCCGCGGTCGTTGAAGACAACAGACACGGAGACGCTTGTCAAAAAAAGTATTTAGTCGTGATCCATGACGTGTGAAATATGTCTAATTGGGGCGTAAAATTACCGGGGCTGGAAGTGTGGTAATATACTAACATAAAATGTTGCGATACACTCTTATCCACCATCTGCAACTCCCCCGCCACCCATTTTTTATCCGTAAAACATTTTCTAAAAATGATCAGGAATGTCATAGAAGGAAGTTTGGGCGACTTGTATTTATTTCATTTGAAAAAGTTTTTACCTTTTAAAAGTAGAGGCCTTCCATTATAACAATTTTTAACAGCAATTTTTAACAGAAAATGAACAGAAAGTAGTATGCAGAAAAGCAGGTTGGGTTAGAAAACGGAAATACAAGTGGAGCTTCTTAATGCCTACCATAAATTCACACAGTTCTAAGTCACTCGAGTAAAATACATGAACTGTTTTGTCCAGTTCAATGAGATCTGCCATATCGTATACCTAGTATAAATCCGGATAACAGTATACATAAAAGTTTGACGTCAAGTAGTTAAATGTACGGGGAAATCTATGATGGCTAAAAGGTTCATTGAATTACCAAGGTTGGGACCGTATACATATATTGAGATCAAAAGAATGTTACATACCCTCCTACAACCCCACACCACTAAATTTCAACTTATGTTTTTTTTTAAAATGGCCAGAACCCTCTGAAGCGTCAAAAAACTACAAAGTTTTTTCGTCCTTGGCATAGTCGCAAATTTGTGTTGAAATTACAACAAAATCTGAGCGGTACTTCTCGAGTCATGGACGGGACTAGGATTAGCAGAAAGACAGATCAACAGACCGACGGAAATCAGTGACTTGGTTTTTCGTAACCTATATTTTATATATCATCCAAAAAAACGTATAACCTCATTTTAGAAATTTCTCGCGATTGCAATACTTCCTCGTCCAGTGGCTTAGGAAGTGAAAATCAGCAGCTAAAGATCGGAATCCGCTAAAGCTAGTCGGTAGACTTTTTAACACACGCATGTATTCCACTAAACATTTTAAAAATCTATTCTGGACTGGATTCCGAGGTTATTAAACTTAAGGTCACTCAACTAAATGCAGTACCTAATTGGTGATCGATATGGGCAGAAAAGTCAGTTGAAAGATACCAGGGCTTCGGAGGTGGCTTGACTGCCCGTCCACAAATTATTTCGTGCTGCAACTTCTAGAACCAGAATTGCAATCTGGATCACCAACCTTCGGTAAGAGAGGACGAAATAAGGAGAAGAATAGAGCAATCACCGTTTCGATATAATATTCACTTAAACCACTACAACTGTAGTCCGTTCTCGGACTAAAAGCATTTCACGAATATCAGCGAATATTTTCTATGTAGCTGTCTGAAAGCTGTTTAATTTGCTAGATCTGTTTTATGGATAATAAAGCTCCAGGTACAAAATTTTATCGCTCTTTTGCTCCATTTATTATCGAGTTTTCCAAGTCGACTGTGTATGTAGAGCGGCTGCACATTAAATGTTGCAAAGATTGTATTGCTAAGCAACTTTATATGCAATAAGTACGTCAGCGATAATTTCAAACCTATGTATGATATATGGTAGTACTGAAATGCTAAAACCTGTATACAGTGAGGGAGTTAAATATGTACGAAAATTTCGGTATGTTTATAGGTTACTCTTATGAATTCCTTGGTTGCTTCATGTTTAACTAAGAAAATGTCTGAAGCACTAGATAATAACTGTAAGGTCGATGTCATTTATACAGATTTTTCAAAAGCCGTCGACAAAACTGATCATGAAGCTTTGTTGAAGGAATTAGGTCACTTTGGATTCGCAGTAAGTAGTATGAAATTCTTTAGATCCTATTTATCACGATGGAAGCAATATATAGCATTTAATGGGTTCTAGTCCCAGAGGTCTAACTTGCGACCACTTTTATTTCTATAGTTTATTAATGACCTCTGTGAAAGTTTGAAATGTATGCAGATATGTTTTGCTGACGACATGAAAACGTATTCGACTATGATTGTTTGGATTTACAGATTTGAATAGTATTCAGACTCGGTGCGATGTCAACAGTTTACATCTAAATACCAACAAGTGCAAGGTTGTTAGTTATAGTACGAAAAACCTTTCATATTTTCAACCATAGTATTTATGAGTATGTGTATAGATGTAATAATTACAATCAGAGATTTTGTTGTTCCTTATGGCCAAAGGTTAACATTTGCTCCCCATATTTTTAAAAAAGTTTCAGACGCGCTAAAGTGGTACGCTTTCGGTCAGGAATTGTAGGCAACTTCACGACATGAAGGTGATTGGAAACGACATTGACGGTATCATATCTTGCATATGTGCATAGGAAAGTTGATTATGCGATAATACAATGGAGCCCGTATTACCAAATCTGTGTAAACGAAATTGAATAGGTTCAAAGAAAGTACCTTAAATTTCTTTATATGAAGCCTGAGGTAGTTTATTCTGAGCAAAAGTTAAGCATGGCAGAGCTGTGTGGACATTCTGAAATTCAAAGTAGGTAAATTATTAATAAATAGTTATTCAAATTATTATTAATGTGTGTCCATTTTCATCACGCAATTATGTCATATTATAATCATCTATACCAAGAACCAACGTTTTGGTCAATCACCTGAGCATGTCATTTGATTATTTTCTTTCCAAACTCTGTCCTAGACTATCAGTTCATTCTGTTCATGTAATTGCTCTGTAAATGTGTAACTGTCGGACAATAAATGATATTATTGTTGTTATATACCCAGTGAAGAAGGACGGCTGAAGATTCTGTTTACCTACCCCGTCCCAAGAGAAATTTTTCTCTTGGCTATGGATGTTGTGATTATCTGTAGGTGGTAGATGGTCTCTGACTGTCGAACACAGAGGTACCACCCGGCGGATCTCGTAGGCGGTGCCAGAATGTGTGCATGTTGCATGCACATGTGTTCCCTCGCCAGAGTCCGTGTGGCGTTCCCCCTTTCCTATAGCCCCACGGTACGCCATGGGTGTTTAGGCCTTAGGCCTTCGTGGTGGCTGGAGTATAGAAAAAACTAGAAGGAGCTACCAAAGGTATATGTTTTTCCGTCAGTTGCTTGCATTAAAAAGAAATGTTTGTACAAAGATCCTCCATGTTTTTATTATTCTATATCAGCTTTGACTTACCTATAATAGTTAGGTTAACGTGTGTAATTCTGGTAGGTGATTTTTTGAAGTCAACTTTGCAGTGGAATATCGTTTCGTCAGTTTGTTTTGCTGGCGATATGCTCATCACAGCTCTCCGATCGTCTAAAATTCTTAAGAAGAATCTGCAAACCAAGAAAACATATTTGTCTGAGTATAAAGTTGATCGACTAGACAAATAAAAATCATATGATCACATTCAAAATCAACGGACCAAATTACTACGCTGTGCCTGGTTTTGAAGACTTCTAACAAAATGGAATTTTAACAGCTAGGCAAATTGTTGAAAGCCCGTTTCGTATGCAAATTTTAATACCACCCTTTTTTATTGATGTGAACATCTGAAACTCATCCTGCAATTGTCTTTTTGATCAATCTCCTAGTTATCCTCACCAAATGACCGCACAGAGTTAAATTAATTTTAAAATAGCACCGCGCAAGGCCAGCAAAGCCTGTGGTAAGCGATACCGCTTCCGTCTGCTAAAGATACTAGCAAAGATAAGGCTATCTAACTTTTTTTTAATGTACCAGATACGGCACCCTCGTCCATCGTCCCGAAGATGTCAAAAGTCCTCCGAAAACGGGAAACCCACCCAAATCTGTTAATGCAACATACCGTTTAATAAAATCGCCTTTAAAAAATGCTATATGTGCATTTCTTATGGATATCAAGCTCGAGAAATAGTGCTTCGACATCTAAAGGGAACCATGCTGCTTTTCTTAGAAGGAGATAATATGAGACACAACAGGTTGACCTTGAGATGGCGAAGTGAAACATCTGCGCATCTGCGATCCAAAAACAAACCATAGAAAAAAATTCGTAAGTGGAAAATGTGCTAAATAAAACGGTAGTTCTGAAAATTTTTCATTGGCCGTAATAATTTATTTAATTATTCTAAGTAAATTGTACGGTTTAACTGAATTGAATTATCTGGAAGCAGTGTCGAATAAAGAAGTAAATATACTATTACACTAATTTGCTTGACAATATATAATTTTATTAAACCGTTTAATTTAGTTTATGTGGAAAAGGTACATTTGGAACAATTAAACATTTTAATAAAAATAGCTAAACTATTTATCCAAATCACGGACTTGGTTGGATTCGGCCGCTATTCATGAATGGAAGGGAGTATGCGACAGACGCAGTGCCGCAGTTTCATTTGTGATTTTCGTGAGGAGTGGCAAGAGCGTTTAAATTCAATTTATGTAGCTATGTTTAGGACAATTAAGGTCATCCATGTAAATCATATGGTTAACATAGGCTTGATGTGGTTTTCACCTATATTTCGTATAGGAAAATGAGCCTCCTGTTAGTACAGACTTTGTAGTATTCGAGAGTATCCTAGTTTATTGGAAGTGATGTCGAATCGATTTATACAGGGAGTCCCGAAAAAAGTGTGCAATATTCTACCAGCGTTTTCTAGAGCTTAAAATAGGAAGAAAAGTTTATATAAACATATGTCGACAAACGTCCCCTAAGGGCGCTACGGTCTTTTAAAGGGGCTCCCCTTAAGATGGTTTTTCCTTAATATTTCCGTAACGTGTTGAGATAAAGACATAAAATTTGGTATACTAGCCTAGTTTTTATGCTGGATTTAAGAATATTAACAATTTTAGACAGTTTTGTTTGGAAGCGTATGTAACAGGGACGTACTCAGGTTATCTTAGCCCCAAAATTTTTATGTGATTCTATTTTTGAAATTCAATTTTAGAATTTGAAAATTTAGGGTTTTCTACATAAAACATGAATATCGATAAATTGTGCCATTTTTGAATAAAATCAAACTAAAAAATTTGTCACATGAAATCTACTGCGAATTTAAATGAATTGTTGATTATATATGTACATAGTTAGCCATGACTGCAAACAAACGTTGTTTTGATTTATTATGACTAATTTTGACGTTAAGCTGACATTGTTGGCAGTGTACAATTACTAGATTAAAATCAAAAGTTTTATTAAATCGATTTAAAATGCCAAGATTTACAGACAGAGAACTGACTGACATGCATTTTGCAATGGCAGTTCATTGGCAGCCGTAAGAGAATGTCAAAGAAGATTGCCCAATCGCATAGTACCTGGACGTCGAATGTTTAGTGATATTCACCGGAATTTGTCAAACCGTGGAAGTTTTCAGCGCATGCAGGGCTCAGGAAGGAAACTGGGAAATCATCGTATGGATATTGCTTTAAATATGTTTAAAAATACCCGCAAATAAGCATACGAAATGTTTCAGAAATTATGGATATACCTCGATCAATAGGAAGAAAAATTTAGGAATACCTATTTGATAGTTATCCTAATAATAATAATTTTAGATAGGAAGAATGACAAGAATGCAAGGATTACATCCTTATCATTTTAAACGGGTGCAGCATGTAACGGAGGCAGATTTTTTACCACGAACCGAGTTTTGCCAGTGGATATTAGCAAATGAAAACAATATTCCTAGAATGTTATGGTCGGATGAGTCAATATTTACTAGGAATGGTGCTTTTAGTTTCCACAACAGGCATTACTGGTCAGATGAAAATCCAAAAGTTGTTTGCCGTACAAATTTCCAACATAGATTTTCATTGAACTTATGGGCAGGAGTAATTGGGGATCACGTAATTGGGCCTATCGTACTTCGCAATCGTCTTAATTCAGAGGTGTATCTGAACTTTCCTCAGAATGAGCTCATGGATATAATATCATTGGATGTGCACCAACAGTTTCAAGAAAATATGTTTTTTCAACACGATGGCACCCCTGCACATTTTGGACGCAATGTTCGAAATTGGTTGAATGTCAATTTTCCAGACAGGTGGTTAGGCCGAGGGGGTCCTATAGCGTGGCCGCCACGTTCACCTGACCTAAATCCATTGGATTTCTATCTTTGGGGGTCATTAGAAGACCTAGTCTACTGGACTGAAGTAAACACTTAAGGAGATTTACTTCAAAGAATCCATCAGGCTACAAATGAAATAAGAAGAAAAAGGTTTTCCACTTTTCGGGCTACGCAATCATTAGTTCGTCGAGCGAGACTCTGTATCCAACAAAATGGGAATTTATTTGAACACTTATTGTAAAGCTAGTTTTAAGTATATCCAACTGTATGTCTTCTTTTTTAAACAAATTTCAATTTCGTTCGTAGAAAAAATTTATTTCTTTTGTTTTTGCCTAAATGTTAGCTATGTTGCAATAGAAATATGTATTTATGTAATATTTACCAATTATTAAATTAGTTTTTTCGTTGCCATGGCTATTTATTCAACAATTCATTTAAATTTGCAGTACATTTCCTATCATGTGACAAATTTTTTAGTTTGATTTTATTAAAAAATGGCACAATTTATCGATATTTAGTACCTTTTTTATGTAGAAAACCCTAAATTTTCAAATTCTAGAATTGAATTTCAAAAATAGAATCACACAAAAATTTTGGGGCTAAGATAACCTGAGTCCGTCCCTGTTACATACGCTTCCAAACAAAACTGTCTAAAATTGTTAATATTTTTAAATCCAGCATAAAAAACTAGGCTAGAATAAAAAATCTTATGTCTTTATCTCAACGCGTTTCGGAAATATTAAGGAAAAACCATCTTCAGGGGAGCCCCTTTAAAATACCGTAGCGCCATTAGAGGACGTTTTTCGACCTATGTTTATACAGGGTGGCCAAACACGTGACGTCATAAAAAAAAATTAGATTCCCCACATCGAGAGGAACCCAAATCACCCCCATATATAAGGTCCGATTTTGTTTAGTTTAGGAGTTATGATTTTTTTTTCGGATTTTTCGAGAATTTTTGAGTTCTGTGTTTATTTTTACCATAACTTCGTTAATAATTGTGATAAATGCCTGCTTTTTTCACGATTATGTAGCTAAGACCTAAGGCTTAACTATCATATAATCATTCAAGTCATGTAACTAATACTACTTTTTAATTTTTTTCAAAATCTTCGAACATAACAAAAAAGTAAAAAAGAGCAACAACTTTGAACGTTTATAAAAAATTGAAAAAACATGTTCATACTATTCGTAAGTATCTTAAAAACTTCCTTACGGTATCAGCTATTTACCGTAAACATTTCATCAACCTAGCTTTACTACATGCTACCGTAATTGTGGCTCAAATAGAACCGAACCCAAAATTGGATAACCCTCTGCTCAATAGAAATTGTTAGTTTCGGAAAATAAAATTTGCAAAAACCACAAAAACACGTTTGATTTTTACTGAACAGCAGATTATTATTCATTTATGTTATTTACAAGAGGTTTTCAAAATGTCTGCCTCTAACAGAAATGCACAGTGTACACCGTATGAAATTTTGTTTTAAATCTCTAAATGCTTGTGTGTTGTTTTTCAACACATGTGTCGCTTCTTGAATTTTGTTCCTCAATGAATTTTCATTTGCACATTCTTGGGCGAATGTTATGTCTTTAAAATATCCCGAAACAAAAAAATCAATGGGGTTGAGGTCAGGGGAGCGTGGAGGCCATCGTATCGGTCCGTTTCGTCCGATCCATCTGTCTGGGAACCTTTCGTTTAAGTAGTTTCGCACGATCGTTGCGTTGTGGCATGGTGCACCATCATTCCAGGACGAGGAAGCAATGAAGGATATCCTACAGCTGATCCGGATCGCAGAGAAGTAGTACTTGAAGAAATTAGCCGGAATCCCTCAACGAGTACGAGATCTATGGCACGAAACCTTAGAATATCACGAACATCGATACAAAATTTTCTTCATGAAGAAGGTTATCATGCCTATCATGTTCAAAGAGTTCAAGCGTTGATGCCTTCAGATTACCAGTTAAGAGTGGATTTCTGCGAGACAATGCTGCGAAGACAACGAGAGGATCCCGATTTTTTTGATAAAATTTTATGGACTGACGAGTCACGTTTTGAAAGAACAGGGATATTCAATATCCATAATTTACATACTTGGGCTGTTGAAAACCCCCACCAGTCAAGGCCGTCGAAATTTCAACACCGTTTTAGTGTGAACATGTGGTCAGGAATATTCAATATGGAATTTATCGGTCCATTTGAACTGCCGTCAAGGTTGGATTCGGTAGCCTACCAAAGCTTCCTTGAAAATAGCCTACCATTATTGCTGGAAGATTCAAGCCTAGAAGCCAGACGGAACATGGTGTTCCAGAATGATGGTGCACCATGCCACAACGCAACGATCGTGCGAAACTACTTAAACGAAAGGTTCCCAGACAGATGGATCGGACGAAACGGACCGATACGATGGCCTCCACGCTCCCCTGACCTCAACCCCATTGATTTTTTTGTTTGGGGATATTTTAAAGACATAACATTCGCCCAAGAATGTGCAAATGAAAATTCATTGAGGAACAAAATTCAAGAAGCGACACATGTGTTGAAAAACAACACACAAGCATTTAGAGATTTAAAACAAAATTTCATACGTAGGTGTACACTGTGCATTTCTGTTAGAGGCAGACATTTTGAAAACCTCTTGTAAATAACATAAATTAATAATAATCTGCTGTTCAGTAAAAATCAAACGTGTTTTTGTGGTTTTTGCAATTTTTTTTTCCGAAACTAACAATTTCTATTGAGCAGAGGGTTATCCAATTTTGGGTTCGGTTCTATTTGAGCCACAAGTACGGTAGCATGTAGTAAAGCTAGGTTGATGAAATTTTTACGGTAAATAGCTGATACCGTAAGGAAGTTTTTAAGATACTTACGAATAGTATGAACATGTTTTTTCAATTTTTTATAAACGTTCAAAGTTGTTGCACTTTTTTACTTTTTTGTTATGTTCGAAGATTTTGAAAAAAATTAAAAAGTAGTATTAGTTACATGACTTGAATGATTATATGATAGTTAAGCCTTAGGTCTTAGCTACATAATCGTGAAAAAAGCAGGCATTTATCACAATTATTAACGAAGTTATGGTAAAAATAAACACAGAACTCAAAAATTCTCGAAAAATCCGAAAAAAAATCATAACTCCTAAACTAAACAAAATCGGACCATATATATGGGGATGATTTGGGTTCCTCTCGATGTGGAGAATCTAATTTTTTTTTATGACGTCACGTGTTTGGCCACCCTGTATATACTTTTCTTCCTATTTTAAGCTCTAGAAACCGGTGGTAGAATATTGCACACTTTTTTCGGGACACCCTGTATAAGTAATTCCGTTGAATGCGGGTAAGTGCAATATTGTTTTATTACTCGTATTAGAAATGGAAGTACAATTTTTTTACACTTCATGGGTTGGCCTTATTCAGCTTCAGATACCCCTACCAGAGCACAGTTATAATCATATTATCATTCAGTTAAATGCAATATGTTTTTTAAATTCCAAGTGTTTTCCAAATATACTTTTACGTCTAAATAAAATAATACACAAGTAATTTTACATAAACTGATTTATAAAATTTAATAAATGTCTTACTCGGAGCAGGGAAGCTCATTTTATTAGTTCACTTATTTCAATTAAATTGGTGTACTCAATCTAGGTAAACGGTTTAGTATATTTAATTGAACGATTGTGTTTCGGTTTGATGAAACTAGTTTCATAAATTCAAGCTTACTGTATTAGAAACCGGAGCTTAATCAAACTTATTAACTGTCACATAGTTAAGAAAATCCTTTAGGTAGTATTATCAAAATTTTAATTGGCTCGAATAATTTTTTTTTTCAGTGTACCTGTTTTGAAGTTCCGGCTGTGCCCAGTGTTGTGGATGTCCCGCATTCCTCGCATCGTACTTGTAGATGGGCGCCTCTTCTGATCCGCGGTACCATAATACGACCTCCAGCCGATCAGGAGATGTTACAGAAGTGAGGTCGCATGGCAAGGAGGCAGCACTTCCATCCGAAGCCTCCACGAACTCTGTAGCTGGCTCGGCCACAGATGGACACCTATTGAAGGATTATTAAACATTTTATATTTATGTACAAAGTGGCCAATTAAGCATGCGAGGTACTGTATCTGGGAACCTATCCGTCATAGTGGTTTGCTGCAAAAACGGCCAAGAGAAAAACCTAGAAAATATTTTCAAGTTTTTGAAATGGCTGCTAAGGGTAACTGCAATATTGAATCTAAAAAAGATGTCCCTGTGAATTCCGCTATATTAACCTGACAAAAAATACCTGATCGTTAAATCCGAGGAAAATCTGAACCTTTTTTGTTTGACAATTTTTGCTGTATCTCTAAAAATAAAGTGATGGTGGCTATTCAAAGGTTTCCATAAAAAACACCCCGTGTCAGTATCTGTATCGGCTGAGCCGATTTTAACAAACTTTGGCTAGTTGAAAAGAGCTCTCGATGTCTTGTTCCTAACCTAAAACTTAGGCTATTCAACTAATTTTTCTGGAATTTCATTTATCATTTTAGTTGTGGCCCTAAAAAGGACTGACTTAAAAAAGCAAGGTTCTTAGTGTCCCCGTAAATGCTCTAAATGCTTGCCATCACGCTCTATGCATTCTGAAAGCCTCTCATGGACAGACAAAGCTGCAGCTTCAATTTCTGCTCTCGGTATGTTATGTATTGCATTACGAATCCGGTTTTTAATTTAAAGGATTTCCGTATAACATTTTCTTTGTTCGAAATTTTAGGATATCAGAATATCGAGATGCGGTTATCGCGAACTTATTTAGACATCAATTAGCCACTTTTTCATAAAATAATTCATATCGATGCATCTCACTTTTTTGAAAAAATCAACCATTAACATCTGAAACTAACAAAACCTCAAATATTTTAAAATTCGTAGCCTAAGAATAGTTATTTTAAACTAGCCCTAGTTTGTTAATATCAGCTAAGCCATTTCGAAGATACAGTGTGTTTTTTACGGAAACCTTTGAATACCCCCATCTCTTTATTTCTAGAGATATAGCAAAAATTGTCAAACAAAAAAGGTTCACATAATCCTTGACTTTAAAGATCATGTATTTTTTTGTTAGGTTAATATAGCACAATTTACATAAACATCACTTTTTCAGATTCAAGATTGCAGTTATGCCCCCTAGCGACCATTTTAGGAATGAAATTGAAAATATTTTCCAGCTTTTTCTCTTGGCGGTTCTACTAATAACTGTTTTAGCCGCAAGCCTCTACGATGGATAGGTTCCCAGATACAGTACCTCGCATGCTTAGTTGGCCACCCTATGCGTGTATACAAATCCAAGATAAAGTAAACATACATGTTTACATAAAATCACTAGAATTGATCACTGCGGATCAAGCACAGCTGCAATTTTTTGGAACTGTAATGATCTCAATTAGCATTTAATAGCCCAATCACTATCTAACCGCTAGATGGCTGATGATTCTGGCTGTATAGTATCTCCTGGATAGAGGATAGTTGTGATACTTGCACGCTGCCCCAGATACGAGATACCAAGCCTAGACCATGCTGATGAGTAGTCCGGAAGCACGAAACAGCTGTCCATGTTTGACTGTCTTTTGGCCGGACAAACGAAAGCATCGTGCTTAGCATGGTCACATGATGTCTCAGCAACAGGCGAGGGTGCTCAATCTCTCGGAAAGTGTTTTTCATTATCAGATTCGCAATAAAACGATCGTTAAGCGTGACCAAAGGACTATCCATCACTTAACTAGGAAGTTGTAGTTAAACCGTGATGTCTCACCTGTTTTGCCTGACAGTGACGGATGACAAGGCACAAACACTGAGCATCACAAAATGCGCAGAACATTATAATTTAAACACATTTGAATGTGATAAATACTTCTGTATCTAAACTGATCTATCGTGATACGTACCATGCTACAAGAGCTAGTGAGATAAAAGCTGTAATTGGAGACATCTCGCAGATTTGAAGTGGTGAGGAGCTACCACCTTTCGCACTGTGAGCGGCTACATCCAGTATACTGATGTAACTCTTACACAGGAAAAGGTTATTGGCACTTCATCTTGGATTGTAATCTGAAACAAGAAAAAAACGTTTTGAAATCCAACACCATCATGAACTGGATATTTATTTAGGTGTTTCTTAGGGACAAGCATTTTTCAATGGTCCAAATATAATAATAATAATAATAATGACAATAATAATAATAATAATAATAATAGTAATAATCGTAAAAATAAAATTCATTATGGTAAATCTGCAGTAATATTCGAAAGTTAAAGCCTTTGTCGTGCTTAACGTTTAAAATTAATTTAACAAGTATTCAACCATTTCTGCAAATTTATAATTGTTAATAAGTTTTCGAGGAGAATGGCTTCTTTGATGAGTTGTCCAGGGACTCTGGACTAATCTTTTTTTTTATTAGAGACAACTGCATCAGCCAACTGGCTATTAGCGGTGGAATTTATAAGATTACAGTTTTGTAATAAATTACAATTATATAGGAACTTTATAAGGCTATTGACAATACACGAGGGCCCAAGAATGCTAGTTAATGGTAGATTGATTATGTTTGCGGATACTCTATAGGTTTCTAGTAATGGACACTCGACTAGGATATGTTTCACGGTAAGTCTCAATTCACAGATGTCACACACGGGCTGATTAGGTATCTATGGGTGGCTTTAGTATGTCCCAAACGCAGGCGTGTGAACAGCGTTTGTTGTCTTCTGTTAGTTATGGGAGTCCATGGTCCTGGGCTTGTTTTGAGCTCTAGTAATTTGGAGGGGTGGTTCTGCCAATTTTTGTACTAAACATCGATTATAGCGTGTTCCAGGTGGATGATTTTATCTGAGACTGTAAGTGGGAGGTCTGCTGTAGTGTCCTGGTGTGCCTCTGATTATGCGCTTCTGCTCCGATCTTCAAATCCGTCTTCAATGCACCTGTGTATACTATAACATAGTTAGGGTAGTGGTTTATCGTTTCTTGGTAATTTTGTACAAATAGAGAAGCTGCTGTTTCCTGTTTGTAATATTTGGTGAGTTTCGCGTTGATTTCTTGTTGGCATGTAGCCCTTGATGGAGTAGTAATGGTGGTTATTGATAGAACCGTCGATGGAATTTCGGTTCAGTTCAATTGCTTGAGTCCTATCATAAAATGGGATTCCGCAGAGAGTATTCCGATTTGCGATCCTTCTTATGGTTGGGTTTGGGATTTGCAAAACAGAATTAGGTTCTCATTGCATGTGCTATTGTGGAAATATGCTGCCTTATGTATAGGGGTGCTTCACCTGATTCAATGTATAGGCTGTCGATTGGTCTTGTTCAGGATGCTCCTAGTATTACCCGTAATGCGAAGTTGAGCAACGTATCTAAGGGTTTGAGTACACATGCTCATAGTCATAGTCAATTTTGGCTCTTATAATGGAACGATATATTTTAAGTAGCGTTTTGCGGTCTGATTCCCGTTCTTTATTTGATAGGTATTTCAGCATATTCGTTCCTGTTTGGCTTGCTGATATGCTCCCTCCATCTAAGGCGTTCGTCGAATATGATACCTAGGAATTTGATGTCTTCAGTATATTCTAGATTTTTATTACGAAGTTTTAAGGTTGGTTTGGTATTCACAGCCTTTTTTGAAAATATAATACATTTAGCTTTTTGAAGAGAAAAGGTTGATTTGGACCATTTGGTTATGTATGATATGGCTTTTTGTAGTAAGCTTGCGCTGGATTCCTCATTTTTCCCTTTCACGTAAATGATCATGTCATCTGCGTAGAAACGTGATTGAAGTGGCTTTTCTCTGGATTAATCTAATGGTCTCATACTGGGCCCACTCTTGTGCTAGAGGCTTAGCTTAGTATCATATTACATGACATATGAACTTGATTCTATTATACCAACTATGTAAAAAAGCATCGTCGGCGGAATCGATCCGTGACTAGGTAGGTTCACTTAGGTACGATGAATCTTCGGCCTCTACATATCAAACTATGCAAAATATATCTATCATATTATTTCATGGCAGACGGAATCAGCAGCTTAATAGTAGAGGGTATGTCACTGTCACCAAACATGCGACAATATACAAATACAACCATTTACTGCATGAGGCTTGCAGGTTAAAATATTCAACCCACCTAAACATTGTCCAAAAGTGGGCAGGAATGTCTGAAACTTTGTAACACTATGTTCCAACAATTTTTATTTTTTGTTCGTAGTTCTGCCGCCAGTGAATCTATTTTCAAAACCCACCACTATCTGAATAATGGAAGTTTTGAACTCGCGATAATATTCAAACTCTAGTTCACAAGCGTTCTGTTGTTTAAAGATGTTTGCATCGCACTAGTCCGTGTTGCTCACTTATGTCTATTGTATATCAGTTCATAATAAGTTCATAATAAGTACTGAGTCACTCTGCTTGGCGGAATATTCAGAGAACCATCATATACTAAGTAACACAAATTAATGGTTTGGCCTAGTGGATGGGTACGTGTAAGGATCATAAAATTCAGCATAGGATATGTATAGATATAAGAACAATTCAGTCATCATTAACAAAATCTTCTAAAATATGTAAGCATTCGCCTGTAGTGGTGTAGCCGCGTGTCGATGTCGACGTCGCCGCAGTAAACCAGTTGGAGTTAGTTACCTATTCCGCTTTCCACAGCCGGCAGTGGCGTCTACGACCATTGCAGGTTTTTCGGATCATGATGAACTTCTTTGACTGATACTTAAGCGTAACATTTACAACCCCTAAAACTCAACCGAATTTTAGCCCTTACAAACAGTTTTAAAAAATGATCATGCGTTTCTTAAACATTAAAAAACGTTTAAGCGAGTATAATTTTTTCGTCCTACAGTCTGGCACCACTGGACCAAGTTTCAAAAACTACAAAGCTTTGTCGTCCTTGGCATAGTGATAATCATGTGTGAAAATTGCATCAAAATCCGACCATGCTATTGGGAGGTCTAGGAATGGCGGACAGACAGACAGACCGACGGAAATAAGTGACATGGTTTATCTTGATGTAAATATCATATAACACTCAAGCAACATATTATCTCATTTTGGGAATTTTCAGCGATTGCAATTCTCCCTCGCCAAGTAGCGTGGGAAGGAAACATAAATCTAGAAATCAACGATCTCCTCTTCTTTATAATAACAAATTAACAGTTAGGACAAATTGGCCGTGTAAGATCTCATTTTGAAAGTATTTTCATTCATCGCAGATTACTTGGGCAACTTGCACCAATAGTTCAAAATTAATAAGGTGATTCTTCAACTTTGACGTTTAATAAAGAGTTCGACAGTAAAAGTTTTGGTTTCTCTCGTTCACGACCCTTGTCATATACCTCCAAGAATATAATTCCGCTGTAGAACCCCTTATTACATATTTTTCTAAAACAGCGTCCATTTTTGGCTATCCAGCTTGGTCTATAAATCCATTGTTCACAAAAGGTACATGTCGTATGCGGTTTGGCAATGATTGACGCAGGTTCCCCATAACCATTAGCCTTCAAGCTGATATAAAATTCAGCTAATGTGCAGCTATTTATTAGACTCAGGCGCTACATTAGCTGCTAAGTGGGGGCAATAAAGGGTGCATAATGAATGAAAAATGACGCAACTGCCCGATTATTGCACCCGAGTCCAAAAGGAACCGACGCAAAAGTCGAAATTAAGGATACTCCGTGTTAAATGAGGGATGTATTGAAAAATGGGTGCACTCTTGCTCGAAACGTCTTAGATTAATGTTGAATAGACAAAGAAATTGTTACAATTGGGACAACAGATCTCTATTCTCGAATATACACAACACGCATGTTGTAGTATTGCCGCTATACAGATATTTTTAGAGAACTTTATCGGGGACCTCGTAGAGCCTTTGGACATTTTTTTATACTCCAACTATCACGAAGGCCTAAGGTCTAAACAAACATGGGGTACCGTGGGGCTAGAGGGGATACAGGGGAAGGGGAGGGATGGCACACCGACTCTAGCGAAGTAACACGTGTGCATGCAGCATGCACAGATTCTGGCCCCGTCTACGAGATCCACCTGGTGGTACCTACGCGTTCAACAGTCAGAGACCGTCTACTACCTACCTATTTATAATTTGAGCTTTGCTTAAGATGGATTGTAGTTATACAATGAATAATAGATAACATTCAAAGTCAAATAGATTGACTCTATACTTCCTACGCTTCCGTTGGAGGTTCCAAAGGAAGGGGATGAGTCAAATCATGTCAAAATGCGAAATCTAATCGTGATTAGGTACGATGGACGTTCGGCATCTGCATATAAAGCCAATTTACTATATTTCTGTATCCATTGCAGATGTAGGGAATATATGTATGTGACTTATGATGTCTGACAGGTACATAGTGTCACTGCTATCAGCAGCGCCTTAATAATAAAAGTTTTTTTATTGATACCAAATATTCAACAATTTACAACCATTAAATGTGTACAGTTTCCAACCTACAACGTTGTCTGAAAATGAGCAGGAATCCCTGGAATGTTGTAACACTACCTTCCAGCAATTGTTATTTCCGCCGTCTCTAAATCAATTTTCAAAATCTACTACTACCGATGGAAATATTAAACTCGGGATAATATGTAAGCTTCACTTCTCAAGTTTTCTGTTGTCTAATGATATCTACATCACACAAGGACCGTAATTCTTATTTATGTCGGTTTGTCAGCACGAGTCAGTTGTTATCAATGCATTATACCCACCGAGTAGATATACTTGACCAAATATTCTGAGAACCATCATAGACGGAGTAAGACAAATTGAAGGTTAGATGAAATCGGTAGTACATTAATTTGAGGACCATGGTATTCAAAAAATATATGTGTAGATACAAAAGCTTTTAAATTATCATTTACAAGATCATCGCAGAACGTTACAAGTGGTACGTAGTCGTAATATCCAAATATTGCTAAAATATGTAAATATTCTTTTTTAGCGGTGTGTCAGTGACGACACCGCTGCAGATTCAACAAGTTGGTGTTTGTTACCCATTGCACGATCGGCTGTGTAGTCCACGACGATGCAATATGCGTCGTGCTCCCAACGCCGATTTCAAGTTATTTCGAATTATGTGAACCTTATATATCGAGACTTTTTTCATTTAATTTTACCATTCTTACCAGAACGTCTTTAACAAATACTAAAAGCCTCACAACTCATTTACGACCACTTAGCCCTACAACTCCCAACCCCCAAGTTTCAACCCTATATGAAA